TAAATCTACTTAAGTAAAGTACAGATACACGGAAATTGTACTTAATTGTACACCACTGTGCACTTCAGTGCTGTTATTTCATTGGTCCTTCCTCTCTGTGAACAGTCCTCGGAGAACATGAGCGTGTCCATCACGTTCTTCAGGCTTTTTCGGGTCATGCGTCTGGTGAAGCTTTTAAATCGCTCCGAGGGGATCCGGAACCTTCTCTGGACCTTCATCAAGTCCCTTCAGGTTAGGAAAGCCCTTCTACTGTCACGTCTGGGGGGGGTGATTATAATATAATATAAAACTGAATGTGAATCCTCTGTGTACTCGTATGCAGCTTTATTTTTACTTTCAAAACACTCCAGATGCTCGCCACATATATTATATATATATATATATATATATTATATGTAAGTGACTATAACTGAACAGATCCATGTTTCCAGTAGAACTCCTGCTGTTGTCTGGTAAAACTTTTATTTTCTGGAGTCGTCGGCTCTTCTTTGGGCCTTTTCCTTTCAAAAGAAATTTTCCAAAGATGTCAGTTTTCTACTCCATGTCCCGTCTGGGGGAGTTTCTGGTGTGTTGTCATGTCTTGATTACCTATTGTGTTCCCCTGGGGTTCCCCCCCCTCATGTGGTTAAATAGTCCTGTTTCCCATGTCCTGGGCCAGTGCGTTTTTGTCCTTCTTCACTTTTCGTCACCCCTCACCACGTATAGCCACGTTTTTTGCCATAGCCATGTTTTTTTTTTCACAGCCATGTTAATCTTTATTTTGTTACTTCAGAATCAGAATCAGAATCAGAATAAGGTTTATTGCCAAGTAGGTTTTTAGACTTACAAGGAATTTGCCTTGGTGTTTGGTGCACTTTGGTGTACTTTGTCATAGTTTTGCCACAGCCGTGTTTTTGTACTTTGTCTGGACTTCCACCTTTTGTTACAATAAACCCTGTTTTTCCGTCATCTCCACGCCTGAGTCCTCCATCAAAACCCACCACCCTGACAGTCTCTGTCTGAACCCTCTAGTCTCAGACTGTCCCGTCTGGGGGAATGTCTGGTGTGTTGTCATGTGTTGATTATCTATTGTGTTCACCTGGGGTTCCCCTCCCTCATGTGGTTAAATAGTCCTGTTTCCCATGTCCTGGGCCAGTGCGTTTGCGTCTTTCGTCTCATGTAAGGTTTTGATTATTTCCCATAGCCATGTTTTGCCACAGCCTTGCCACAGTTTTGTTAATCTTTATTTTGTTACTTTTCCATAGCCTTGTTTTGACCACTGCCATGTTAATCTCGTTTGTGCTTTTGCCACAGCCTTGTTTTGATACTTTGCCACGGTTTTGTTAATCTTTATTTTGTTACTTTGCCATAGCCTTGTTTTGACCACTGCCATGTTAATCTCGTTTGTACTTTTGCCACAGTCTTGTTTTGATACTTTGCCACAGTTTTGTTAACCTTGCTTTGTTACTTTGCTCATAGTTTTGCCACAGCCATGTTTTTTAACCTGTTTTTGTTACAATAAACCCTGTTTTCTGCATCTCCGCGCCTCAGTCCTCCATCAAGACCCACTTTCCCTGATATCTACAGCTTTTCTTCTGTCTGTGGACCAAACTCTGAAGCGTTCCTCCTCCTTTATTACAGGCTCTCCCTTATGTGGCCCTCCTCATCCTCATGCTCTTCTTCATATACGCAGTGGTGGGAATGCAGGTACACACAAACGCACAAAAATGACTTACAGCGCAAAGTCAGAAGTAACGACATGTCTATTAAGTTCACAGAACTGGTGGGAAAGTCTGAAATATTCTATAAGTTTATGAGAGTAGAATGTGACGGTGCTAGCACGATGTACGCTGCTTTAAGACATGTTTAGTCTTAGTCAAGTACACAAGTGATTTAGGGAAGAGCCGTTTAAAGAGGCACACTTGCAAGGCAAATTCAGGAAAGAATCAGCCAAGCGTAATTAGTGAAAATCGTTAACATGTAATTAAAAAAATATATAAATGTAAACTATAAATGTTTTGTTTACTCAACAATAAATGAGTAAAATGCAGCTTTATGTGCTGTTTGGGTTTATTAAACTATTGTCGACATGGTGTGAACTGTACAGTTTTTCTTTTATTTGCTGTATTCCTTTTTGTGGAGAAAATCTAGAAACAGGGGCTAAGCAACTGGTCTAAAACAGGATGGAGACTGGAGAGCACATTAAATCAAATTCTACGTATTAACTAAACACTAATTGAAGAAAAAAAAGATATGGGAGCGGTACAGGAGTTTAAACAGGAGCGGGATGGGATGGGATTATTTTTAAACTTTGGTCTGGGAGGGGACAGGAGTGAAAATCCACTCCTGTGTCATCCTCTACTCTGCATTCAAATATGAAATAATTAAAAATAAATGGTCATGTTTGTCCTTGAAATGACTCAACCAGCTATCTGAATATTTACTCACAGATGAATGATGTGAAATGGGATAAGCTCGGTGTGTGTGATAGTAAATGTCTTCTCCTTTTCTCTGCAGATATTTGGTAAAATCGCGTTAGTCGATGGTACGTTCATCAACAGAAACAACAACTTCCAGACTTTCCCTCAAGCCGTGCTGCTGCTATTCCGGTTGGTGTTCTTTAATTTTATTTGCTTTTATTTATTTATTTATTTATTTATTTATTTATTTATTTATTTATTTATTTATTTATTCATTTATTTATGTATT